AACTACCTTCTGCGCAAGACCAGTTCTGACTTCTCCTCGCAGTGCTTCAATCTGCTCGTTCTTCTGTTCGGTCAGCTGCTTTAGTTCACTCAGGGTCCCCTGAAGTTGTTGCTCTCCTTTTTCCTTTTGTTTCAATGTATTTTGGGCCTGTACAATTTGTCCTTGCATCGAATTAAGCTCCAACTTCAAATGACGAGATGTCTGAAAGAAAACAAAAGCAGTCTGGCAGTCATTTATTCAGTCAAATATTTATTGATCACCTACTACATGGCAGGCATGTTGAAACTACTGAGGTATACAATACTAAACAAAAGAGAGAAAAAAATCCCCTCACAAGTGACATCATTCAATATTAAATAACATGTTGACTTAATCTTCAAGTATTTGTTTAATGCACTTTCCTACCTTCTTTTTAAACTTATAAACATATATTTGAATAGAACTTAAAAGGAATTACACTAGTATTTCTTTCTATCACAGAAAATGGATATATAGCACAATTTCTAATTTACCAGAATATCTATTTTTTATATGAATATTCAAGATACTACTGAACCTACTGCCCCAGGTTATCAAAAAGTAGCTCCATATTAACATTAAGCAAAAATTCATTTTTGACAAACACACTGCACACTAGTTAGCTCGTTTAGAGATCTGTGGATATTTTGCTAGTACTTTATTGCTGCAATGCACCAGAATGCATTTCTGTTCAAAATCAGATGTCACACAGAGGGCACACTGAGATCTTGAGGCCAAGGTGGGCTACAGCTATTTCCTCCCCTTGCGGCCAGAGCCGTGTTTCACCCATGAGTCATTGCATCTGGCCATCCTCAGTGACTTGTTGGAAAGCTTCAGTATTACATATGGATTTTTGTGCACTTACTTTGTTATAGGATTCTAATCCACTTGAACAAAGTAAGCCGTGTATTTCTCAAAATAACTCTATGTAGAGATTACATAATTAGCCCCATTTTTAAGCACAGTGAAATTAGTCAATGCTGGCTCATTGCGATCCTATAGGACAGGGTAGAACTTCCCTGTGCATTTCTGAGACAAGAGCGTCTTTTCCCCATGCAGTGGCTGGTAGGTAAGAAATGCTGGCCTTGCAGCTCACAGCTGAATGAGTAACCACTATGCCACCAGGGCTTCTGACCCAAGACAAGGCGAAACCGACTGCATAACAAGTAGCACAGCCAGGATGTGAATCTGAACAATCGGACTTTGGTGCCTGGGCTTTTCGTATTATCTCCGTTTACAGATCTGGCTATCTACAGCACAGACGACTTCTTTCAATCAACAATCAAAAAATAATCATATCAAATTGTACTTATGTCAAAGATGGTTCAAACACTTGCCAAGATTAGGTTTTGCTGTGCTGCCAAATCAAATTTCTTGAAAACTACATGCCTATATTCAAGTTTCCCAATAATATAATACACAGAGAATAACAACCATACATATATCCATATATTTATTTGTTTCCTGTGTATTTACTTTTGCTGGACATGAATAAAAGCACTAACCATAGAAATGTCTCTTAATTGTTATATAACTGTTATTAAATTTACTATTAATATAAATATCCAAGAGTTAAAGCGTCCTAGAGAAAGGTGATTTCAATAGCAAAGTATTGTTTCTCAAGCATACAATACTGCTTAAGACAGATTACCTAATGATAACTTGAGAGTTAGTTGACTCACTTTTCTACCCTTATTAATTATATTCCATTACTTATCTTTTTTCCATAAAAAAACTAGCTTACATTTTTATAGTAGTAGATAGAGCACAAAACACAATTTTAAGCTATGTTCTCCATGTCATTTCAGAGAAATACACTTTTCTTTGACCTAAGTACAATGTAACCATAATTTCAAAGTATACAATTCTATATTTTACATTACAGAAAAAGAAAAGGGTACCTCCTTCTCATTTTCAAGTGACTTTTTCAGTTCATTCTGTTCTTTAAGAGTACTTTCTGTCTGTACTTGAAGTTGATGCTTCAATTCTCTGCAAGATTTTTCCTTTAAAAAGAGGAGACTATTACACAGGAATTTGTATTGCAAGTTTAAGAACTTTATTATTTATGTTTACTGGTACCTATGCAAGGAAATAAACTATAGCCACTTATGAGCTAAGACAGCATAGGTCACCCATTTCAGTAATAAAAATATTACAAAGCAAAGTGCAAGAGACAGCCAAAGACCAAGCGTTTCCACCACCCACCCACTTTCTGCCACAGAAAGAAAAGCGCAACGGTTCCAGGCTATGGCTCTCTCAGGGGCTGACGACTAGAGCACCAAGCTGACAGTACAGACACCAACAGAGCACACTCAGACAGAGCGGTGTACGATAGTTTAGGAATCTAAAATTTTTTAAATGTGGCTTTCAAAGTGTTCTACTAAAAATATTTTAGAATAGGAAATCACATTCTTATGTCGCAAAGTTAATTAAAATTAACTTGATGGTAAATTAAAAGTAGAGCAGTGCAGTTCACAAAAATGGAAGTAAGATTATAAAAAGGAGTATTAAAACAATAATTGTTTGAAAGCCCATATAACTCAAGAGGGAAGATGCACTGGCAGAAGATGCCTTTCTTCAAATCCAAATTATTTACTTTAAACTTCTGTGTAGTGAAGTCATTGATCTTTATATTGAGAGAAGAGTTGTATTTTTGTTGTTACTCTGTGCTATTCCCAATTTTAAAATTTCCCCATTTAGTTTCTGAGATTGCCATTTTTTTCTCTAAAATTTTATACATGCTGTATGTTATCTCTAAGATATAGTATTATACAGGATTTTATAATATTCAATGAAGAATCCGAGATGATAGTAGTGGAGTTAAGTTATCAAGACCGTTCTAGTCTTTCCACACACCTGCACACAACTGAATATTTCAATAAACAGTAGTTTTATTCTCTGTGGACTGCAGTCCCTTCTAAATCTAGCATGTCAATAATAGAAGAAGACTGCTAAATGCAAGTCACCATGTCCCTGGCCTTAATAATAAAGTGTACAAGGGGATTCAAAAAAATTTGTATAAAAACTCCATTAGCTTTTAATTGCATTTTAAATGGACTTTTTTAAGCCCACTCATATATCCATACATAATACAACTATATACATGTGTCTGTCAATTTCTTGAGCTATCTTTCCCTCATGTTAATTCTAATTCCTTATTTTTAAAAACTATTTTATATCTTTTAAATGAAGGATTAAAAATTGACAGTGCACTAGGCAGAAAAATCAGTGAATTTTAAATAATCACTTCTTCCTGAGAAAGTAAACGTAAACAACGCACCAATTCCAATATAACAGCTTTTCCTTTCTGACTTTCCTTCTCACGTTCACTTTTGGAGTTTTTCAAAGAATCAGAAACTTTGGATAATTTCTCTTTGGTTGCAGAAAGTTCAGTCATTAGAGTTTCTTTTTCTGTCTTCATATTTTGCAGTTCTGTTACTGCTGCTTGAATTCTGTTATTCAATTCTTTGTGCTGCATCTTTGCATCTTGATTTATATTTTCAATTTCCTGTTTAAGCTTTGTTTTCTCTTCCTCTTGCTTGGTAAGCATGTGCTTACCATTTTCAAGGGCTTCAGATTTTTTCTGTAGATCCACCTTTGTACTGGATACCCTAATACAGAAGATATCATGTTTTAAAATTACATCATTTATTTTTCCTAAATTCCAATTAAAACTAGTAAGAAATTATTGATTTTTTAAATATTCGTGTATAATGAAAAAGTAAAAATAACTCCAGTTTAGGCTTTGGGGGAAGAAGGAGGCAGGGAGAAGGGTACAGTGAATGGACGAGGTCATGGACAGGGGACCAACTAGGGAACTGAAACCAATATCTAGGAGGGTGTAGAAATCCTCAACCCCAATCTAGCTGAGAGGAAGCCCTAAGAGGTGGAAAAAGGGGGAACATGATAGTGGGGCAGAAGGAGGCAAAAGGAAACAGGAAAGCTTTAGAAAGCAAAGCTATAGAGGTATTAACAGAGGTATGTACTCATGTAAATACATTAATCCATAAAAATAGAGGTATTGGCCTATGTACATATATTTATAAGGCAATACACTGAGGCTGCAGATAGGCATTGGACCTCAGCTCATACTCTCCATCAATACAAGAATATTTTGTTCTAACAAACCTCTGCCCTGCCCCCCAACACAATCGCGGAAACCAAAATGGGTGCATAAGCAGATGTGGTAAAGACAGAGGATGGTGCCTGGCTATTAAAAGATATAGCGTCTGGGGTCTTAAAGGCTTGAAGTTAAACAAGTGGCCATCTAACAATGAAGCAACAAGTTCAGATGGAAGAAGCACACCAGCTGGTGAGATCATGAGGTTTCATCAGGACCAGACAGCGGGCATCAAAAGATTCATAACAAGCAACAAACAAACAAAAACGTGTTGGTGAGAAAGAGTGGGGTTGGAGTGGAGACCCAAAGTCCATCTGTGGACAATGGAGCATCGCCCCACAGAGGGGTGGCAAGGAGGGGATGAGTCAATCAGGGTGCAGTAGAGCACTGATGGATCATGCAATATAGCCCTGATCCCTTGAGGCCTCCTCACCCCCTAATATCATGACCCCATCGCTGCTTCCCACTCTGAACTAGACAGGAGCATGTACATAGGTATAGGCCAGAGATAAAGCTCACGACACACGGAACCCAGGAACAGGAATGGGAACAGCGATACCAAAAGTGTAGGAGGAAGGGGGGAGAGGTGGGGAGGAAAAGGGACTGATCGCAACGAATGGCACATCACCACACAGCCCCCATTCAGGGGGAAGAACAACAGAAACCAGAGGAGAAGGGAGAGAGCAGTTGGTGTGAGATATGAAAATAATAACAATCCATAGTCTACCTAGGGGTGGCGAGGGGTGGGGTGGGGAAGAGGAGCTGATCCCAAAGGCTCAATAGAAAGTAAATGTCTAGAAAAGAATGATGGCAATATACCCTATATACTTATGTAAAAGCTGAGTTTTTCAGCACATTATCTTAGTAAAACTATAGAAGAAACACTGATAAAATACTTTATTAGATCTGTTGAAAAATAATATACTGATTTCATTAAGATTAATTACCCATGTGCCAGAAGTTTGACATGTATAGGAGTGGATTAAGAAAATGTAACCCATACTGCAAAAGGTAAACCATCCACAAGAAATACTTCATAAAGTATAAAAAGAAGAGTAATCCCAACATAGAGCTAACAAAAGCAATGATAAGGAGGAAAAGTAAATAAAATAGGAAACTGACAAACAAAAGCTCCTAAATAAAGATGTAGTATAAAAGATTGATGAAACTAATTTCTAATTAAACTTATCAGGAAAAATGGAAAAATATTACTACTATAAATGAAAAAGGAGATATCACTATGGATCATAAAACCTTATATATATTATGACTAAGAGTTAGATAAAATGGGAAAATACTTTGAAAAACACAAATAACTAATATGGAGTCAAGAAAAACATAGAAATTCAGAATAGCCCCACATCTATTTAATAAACTGAACTCAAAGTTAAGAAGTAACTCAGAGAGAGAACTCCATTTCCAGATGGTTCACCAGTGAACACCATCAAACATTTAAGATAAATAACACAAATCTCGTGCAAATGCTTTAGAAAGTATTCAAAAAGTAGATACTTCTCAATTCCTTTCTAAATCTACAATATTCCTAACACTAAAAGTTGAAAATGATATTTTTAAAAATTACAAATAGCCCTAATGAATATATGAAAGTTAAGTATTATCAAATAAAATCCAGCAATATATGAAAAGAATAAATCAGAACCAAATGAAATTTAACACAGGAAAGCAAGATTGGCTTGATATTTGATAATCAATCAATGTAATTCAGCATATTAACAAAATAAAAAAGAAGTATATGATCCTATCAATAGATCAGAAAAAAAGTTGATAAAATCAAGACCTGGAGATGATTTAAAATAAACTCTGTATAAGAGAATGTCCTTACCACAAAGGGAATTTAGGAAAAATTTATAGCTAGGTGCATACTTAGTGATAAAATGTTTAATGTTCCCGAAATAACATTGGAACACTACAAGCTGTCCACTATTACAATTTTCTTTCAAAATTTTACTGGCAATCCCCAGCCAGCAATAAGTAAAGAAAGGGCACAAAAGGCTTACAGATTGTACAAGAAGTAAAACTTTCTTTTGTTCACATATAACATAACACAAGTATCGAATTACTATTGAGTAGATGACAGAAATTCAATTTTTCAATTCTCTCTAGATAAATTAACTTCAACTCTTTTATCATGGTTTTATTCTTAAATTCCCATTAACATCAGCAGTTTACACAATCAACAGCATTATTTAGTAAATCTTGAAGCAGTGTGATACCGAATAAAATTATTTTAATACTTAGTGTATACTCCCACCTACCCCCAACTTACAAGCAAAGTAAGTTAGCTTACATTTCCTTCTCCATTTCAAGTTGCTTACTGAGTTCTGTGGCTCGGAGCTCTAAGTCTGCACTCAGCTGCCTGTGCTGCTGTAGATCTTGCAAAGCTTGCTCCTTGCTTGTTTTAAGTTCAACAATATCAGCTTCTAGTTTCTATAAAATATATATAGTATATTAGTCATTTGAATGCTAGTATTATCTATTATTAAATACCATGTCATCTTTCCTTATACATCAATAGATGCTGACACCCCAAAAATAGCCATAAAATATTTATGACAATAAAAAATACACCCTGAAACCATTACTGAGTAGCAGGGCTACTTGGAATATTTCAGAGGACTTAAGAATTAGACCTTAAACATGATAATCAGTCACTAAGTGTGTATAAAAATTAACTCTGATTAACAAAATAAATTTAAAACACAGCAAAAAAAGCAAAAATAAGAATAAAAGGCATTACCTCAAGTACAAAATAAGTAACAGGTTCACACATTTGTGCTTACTTAAAACAGATTACTCTTTATGGTAACAGTTAATAATATTGATATTATATATGTTCAAAACTAGAATGGAGTTGCAATACAGTCCTTCGATTAACACATACACACACATTAGTAATTTGTGCCTTCTGCTTTTGTGTACCCACTACCTCTGCCCCAGAGGTATTTTCATACGAATACACACTGCTATGCTGAAAAAATGATCTCCCATGCTGCTTTATTTTTTAAAAATAACAGTATATTTACTAAAAATATATGCTAGAGGAGGCAGTGATTAGCAAACAATACTGCCCTACAGAATAGGAATTTTCAAATAATTATCTTTTAATTCCATTTTTATGAACTTTTAAAAGTCTCAATACACACATGCGTGCACATTTCAATGGTAACTTGATAAATTTTTTAACTGGAGCAGAGAATCAAACTTTATTATTTTTATTCTTTCTACTACCACAACTGAATTACTTGTTAATTGGCTTACAAACAATAGGAGTTCCATTTTAAAAGACTCAGGGTTGAATCATTCTCTGATATATCTAATTATCATTTAACCTTTTTAGTAAACCAACCCTTCGGGTTAGAGTTGTAGTTAAAAAACACACAATTATGATGACCTACACTTACTATTTATTTAAAGGCAAAATTTAAATATTACAAATGTATAGTTTGTAAAGGAAAATGTCTACCACGTCTGAAATCTGCTGAAGTAATAGCATAAGAAGTGGAAGAACAAAGAAACTGAGAATACTTGATAATAATAACATCGTCAGTTCTCGGCAATCACAGAGTAGATCCCTGGATGGGTGTCCCTTTGGAATAGTTACATAATACACAAAACTAGTATATATGCTCAATATGATTTGTAAGAACAACAGATTAATGCATAAATAAAATGTCAAAGATGGCATTTTTTAAATGTGCCATCAGGAATCACAAGTACAGTGAACCCTCGTTTATCGCGGTTAACCGGTTCTAGACCCTACCGTGATAAATGAAATTCCGCCAAGTACGATTCCTTATTTGTAAATCAAATATTTTCGTAGTTAGAGCATAGAGGACACGAAAAAACACCCTTTAGTCACCATTACACTCGTATTACCCAATTTATTAAACGAAAAAGGGAAAATACAGTAAAACATTTTGGACGTTACAATGATCATTTATTATTTATTATATTATTTATGGCATCAAGCGTGTACAGTATGAGCCAATCAGTGGCAGTAATGACAGAGCATGCGCTGTTAAGCAAAAACCGCGATAGAGTGAAGCCGCGGAAGTCGAAGCGCGAAGTGGCGAGGGTTCACTGTAATATAATTTTATTGCATAACTGTAATCTTTCTTGATAAATCAAAAATCATTAATTACATCTAGGCTCTCAGCTTTCACTTCTACGACAGGAGAAAATCAGGCTAAGTTCAACGTTTTATACAAACCTTAATCTGGCCCTCTAGTTTTTCTGTTTCCTGCTCTAAACAGAGATGTTTCTCTCTGTATTCTTTAAGATGACTCTCCAGCTGATTGCAATGTTCTTGCTTCTCCTGAAACTTTGTCGTTACCTGATCCAATTGAGTAGTGATCTTGTTTAACTCCTATAGAAAAGTATAATTGAAGAAAACGTTAGTAAGGCTTATTTTAATTTAGTACCCAAATATTCATTCCAAGTAAAAGTGAATACCCTGATTTTATCTGACAAACTATTTGAGGGTAAAACCTCAGAAAACTTACGTGTCTGTCGAGGCTATAGGAACACATACACCCACATAAAACCTAGGTGAGCCCAGATAATGCAATGGTCCATGGTCAGTAGCTATAACCACCAGGTGGGTGGGTCAAATTCACCAGCTGCTCCACATGAAACATGACCTCGCATAAAAATTTTATAACTTTTCAATGTTTTTCTAAGAAAAGTTATTTTTAGGGGTCAAAATTGTAATAAATAGGCTAATAGTGAAATAACACTTTTATATAGAGTATTCAATGTTCAGAATACCATTTTAAAATATTTTATTAGAATTATCCAATTCATTTGGATTATCCAGTTGCACAAAAAGAACAAAATAAAAATTACTAGCATGTCTACCACCTAGATTATAACTGTTATTATTTTTATTATTTTGCTTCCAGTCTTCCCTATGGGTTAGTTTACATTTTTCTCCAATCTCTTAAAAAAAAAACAACAGACTTTCACTTTACATTTCTTTGTTGCTTTTATATAATGAAGTATCTCAAAACTTTTAAGATTTTCCATATTTTGTAAAATCATGAAATAATTCATCCGTTAGCCAAATCTCCCATTTTAGAAGTACCAACTACTAAACTTTATGCGTTTATTAGCAGAGACGTAGCAAAAAGCTAAGGATATTCCCTTAGAATAAGAGATGCAGAGGGAACTAAAGAATGTGAAAAAGTCTGGGGTGTTTGAAATATGTTGCCGAACAGTCCCCCTGTATAAAAAGGATGAATTAATTTATACTACAAGTGGTAATGTTTCAAAGGGATGGATTTCTTCACATTCTCTCCAACACACCCTACTTCTCCAGGGGAAAGGCTGAATGCCTTTCAGGAGGACTGAGAACGATAAGATCTGCCTCTGAGAGTGTTTTCAGAAAGTATCTCGTTAGGCTTTTAATTTGCAATTGGTTATTAATGACCTTGAACAAGGGCTACTTTTTTCTCATGTTAAAGAATTTTAAGTTTCGAGGCTATTAACCCTTCATTAGTCATACTTCAGAAAAACATTTCATCATTAAAGCTATCTGCCTTAATTTTTTGTTACTAATGTTTCAACAGATACATTTTTGAACTTTAATGTGGTTATTTTTATAACATTTGAAATAGTTTGACTCTGATCACACGTTTAGAGAATACTTTCCTGATGGATTTAATGGCATTTACGGTGTGATCCCACAAGCATGGGATGCGGATATTGGCGTTAAGCAGAAGCATAAGAAAGTCGTTCTTGACTCAGCATTTTATTTTGTGTTGCAGTCAACAGTTGTTACACTACTGTATTTTATACATCTCATAGAAAGTTAAGTCAATTACACCAGTTAGTGCTTATATATTCTACAAATCTATGGTGTTCCCTTTATGGTCTGCTTTCAACTGTGTGTCATATGAAAGAAACAAATCTTCAGTAATAACTAATCTAATGATTATCTGGTGTCCATCCATCTTTTCATAAATTGATATACTTCTGTATTGTTGAAAAATTAAAGGAGTATCTGCTACTATTCCTTATATAATAAATGATGCTGCTTGCACAATTCTTACTGAAAATTAAAGTTGAACAAGCTTTCTCCTCACTGGATGCCAAGCCCCTTGTGCCCATCAGCTGCAGGCATGAGTAGAACTTTCTATGGAAATTTTAAACAACCGGGATCAGGCTCCTGAAACATTTCTTAGAAGAAATGTCACAAGAGATGAAACATATCTTTACCAGTACAATCCAAATATCAGAGCACAATCTAAATAATGGCTATACCAAAAGGTAAAAGTGGTCCAGGTCAAAGCAAAAGCACACTGGTTCAAGAACAAAGGTCATGACAACAGTTTAGGAGTGGGGTTGAGGGGGAGACTCAAGGTCTATTGATTTGGGGGAGAATATGCTCAGGTTTATTTATGATGAGGCTTATTGACTTCCTGGAGGACTAAGGAATAATAATATCTGCCTCTGAGACTGTTTTGAGAAAATTACCCAAAGCTTTAGGAGAGAAACATCCAGGAAAGCTTCACCTCAGAGACTTTCTCTACCACAACAATGCTGACTATTGTTCATTCCATTTGCCTGACTCCTGCATCTGTTACTAACTACTGGTGAACAATGGGAAAAGTTATGCGGTAAGTCATCACAGGATTAGATAAAGCCAAGTATGTTTTCATATAAATTTGCCATTAATTTATCTACCAAGCACTGCATGAAATTGCATCAGGTTCCCCACCTGCTGTTTATCTTGTAATGCATTCTGAGCTGTGTCCAAATGATTCTGAAGGTCTGCTCTTTGAGCAGCTTTTGCTGCTTCTGCTGATAGCAATAATTCAGTTTTGGCTTTAATCTGTAACAAAACATACATGTTATTTAATTCATATTTAGTTGTTTATGGCTTCTTGCTTGAATATACATACTATTTTTTATTACCAAATAATTGAAGACGTTAATACCCTTGGCAATAACAAACATTTAGACAACTAAAAAACATGCATGTGCAAACATCAAAAAAGGAATGGGTAGATAAGACTCCTACTGATGTTTGGATAAATGATGAAAAAAGGTTCCTACCTGGCATGAAAACACTGTCATACTCTTGCTAAGAAAAGAAGGAATCAATTTTATTCAAAAAGGCCACTATACATGGCTATCTGAAGATTGCCTACTCTCATGTTAAATTAAATGGCCAGGCCAAAGGAAATAATGGCTCCAAAAATAATCAAGACTTCTAGAAATCCAGAACACAAAACATCCCTACCTAACAAATTGAAACTGAAACTCCTCGGTGATTCAGTATTCCCTGATAACCTCTAACATAAAAGGTTTAACTTTTGAAGTTTATCAAAGGTCAGGAAATGACACATTGAAAATTCAAAGCTTTCAACAATAAACATTAAACAAATCAAATAAGCATAAACATTTGTCTTTTATGTAAACCAATGCTTTTAAGTGTTAAAATAGCTTTAGCAAAACTCATCTCAAAAATTAAAAATAAGTGCAAATTTGCAACAACGTATCTTCAGGGAAGGGTGAAAAGTGAGCACTCATTTATCTGGTTGAATAAATTGTGGATAAATGTTAGAAATCCAAGGTTTACATGGAATGAAGAATTTCATACACAAATGGAAAAATTCAAAGAATCTATTTTCAAAAACTAAATATTGACATTTTCACAGACACAATAATTACATCAAGCTACATGGATCTACCCTGAATTAAAAGCAAAAACTCGAGTTAGCTACACTTTAAATCATAAAAAATACATCAAGCAAATTAGTAAATTAACAATGGATTTAAGAAATGAACACTAATAACCAAAACACCTATATAAAGAAAGCAAAAAAGATCCACAGAAAGACAAGAAAGAAAGAAAAGCCCAAAATGGAAGTCAGAAGGGAGTTTAAAATTTGTTCCTGCGCATGAAGTAGCTAAAATGAAGGGAGGAGATGTTACAGTTCAGGTGAGCAAAAGATTTCAAAGGGTGCTCAAGAAGACAAAAAGTATGACAGAGAACTAAGGAAAACATTCAACCTTTCAGTTGCAATATTGAAAAATTCTATGAGAAAGACCCCACGTGTCTAGTAACTGTGGCAGCTCGCATCTTGCTGTCATGTGGGAAGCTGCACTATCGGTATTTCACAAATCAGCATGGTCACCCTTAGGGGAAACGTTTCAGTGGAGCTTATAAACAAAGAGCAGATTAGGAAGGAAGAGGCAGTCTACTGCTAAACAATTGGCCGTGGAAAACCTTATGCACAGTCGCAGAACATGGTCTGATTTAGTGACAAAAGGTGAGGCCCTCCGGTTAGAATGCACTCAAAATATGACTGGAGAAGAGCTGCCTCCTCTGAGGAGTGTTGATTTCCCTGACAAGGGTGAGGCAAACCTTTTGAGATCTTCATTTGCTGACAGGGCATGATTCAGAATGGAAAGAAACAGCTTTTTTTATTAATAATTAATAAATAATCAATTAATAATCAGAAGGTGGAATATATGAATTCTGAACATTGGAAAGTCATCAAAATTGAAATGGTATGCATAAAGAGTTCCAAAATAGGTGAGCTGAAGTTGACTGGAATTGGCCATTTTCAATTAGGCTATCATATGGTTCATTATGTGGTAATGACAACTTCAAGAGGAATGGTACCACATCCATCATCAAAATGGACATTTCAATATCTATCTTAAATAATGCTGTCTGGTTGAAGTTAAATAAAATTAAAACAAGTTCATGAGAGCTAATGTACTACTGAAGAATATCCCACATGAAGTTAGAGTCCTTCCCATAAACAAAGTTGATGCACCGAACACAAAGGACCAAAGACCAAGCAGGTTACAGGATGACACCAAATACATTATACATTGAGAAAGCTAAAGATCATAAGATTACAGGAAAGAAGGGAAAAAACAAAGTAGATGTCAGCAGAGACTCAAACTTGGACTTGACCACATAGTAACTATAGCAAATGGAAGAAATGATGAAGTCAAAGAGCTAAACAGACATTTTCAAAGTCTGACAATGAAATGTGAAGACTTGAATTAGAAAGGGAAGAGCATGCTCACCATGGATCAAGCTGAAAGAACTGAAGACAAAGGCTGAAGCCTTGATACAATACTGAAGGATTCTATGGGCCAAAAAAAGCAAAAATAGAAATGATGTAGGCAACAACAAAAAAGAAGGGATACACACATGCACAGTACCAGAAAGAAATGATCAACATTCATCCATTTCAAGAAGAGGGCCTCTGCTCAAGAACCAATGATATTGAAAGAAGTCCAATCTGCACTGAAAGTACTCACTAGTCTAGGCCACGAAATTTGGAAGACAGATATCTGTCTAACTTACTGAAGAGAGACATATCGATGGCCATCCCAAAGAAAGGTGACAGAACAGAAAGTGGAAAATTTCAAACAATATCGTTAATATTATATACAAATAAAAATTAGCTGGAGATAATTTTAAAACTATTGGAGCAGTACATTGACCAGGTATCTTCCAGAAATTCAAACCAGATTTGGAAAAAGATGAGGAACTACAGATACCACTGCTAATGCCAGATGGATCTTGGCTAAAGCAGAAAACAGTAGAAAGATGTTTACTTGTGTTTGATTTGACTATGCAATGACATTTTACTATGTGGAACATAACCAACTATGGACAACATTCCAGAGAATTTTTAAAAGTATAATGACTGCCAGAAAAATAAACAAATCTGCCTTTAAAGAAGTACTGCCAAAATGTTCCTTACAAGTGAGCATAAGACATCATGTTACACATTTTGGACATATTTCATAAGAGACCAGTCCCTGGAAAGACATTATGCTGGGTAATGTAAAGAGCCACTGAAAAGATGAAGACTCCCAGGAACTGGATCGACACAGTAGCTGCAATATTGGGTTCAAATCTAACAACTGTGGGGATGGCTGAGGCCCATGCAATGTTTCTTTATTAATCAACTCATGGCATCGAACAACAACATCACGTAAGGCTATTTTATAACTCACGAAATTAAGTATTATATTTGTAAAAAATGAAATGTGGGTTTTCTGTCATTTCTAGTAAGTATTATGTTTTCGTATTTTATTTCTAATGAAATAATTTCCCCCAAAATTTATTTTTTAGAAAATTGGACTAAGAAATATTATATAACTTTCTCAACAATAGTATAGAATAGAAAACCAATGATAAGAATAGAGAAGAAATCTGTCTTAATTCACATTCCATAACTGGATCATTGGTCAAAACTGCTGTATCAGTTTCTGAAAAATCTACATACTTTATGGCACCGCATTAAGATTTTTAAAGTCAAGCTTTCAAAGAATATTTAAAAGTAAAAGCAAAAATCCAGCTAATATGAGAATCTAACAGTATAATATTTGCTAATATAAACTTATAAAAACAATAAAAGTGCTTAAAGCAACAGAAAGCAAAGATCCAGTGGACTCAGGTACTATTTTCCAGAAAAGTGTGCACGCACGTGCGCGCACACACACACAAACAAGAAATGGTAAGCGAAAAGGAAGAAGAGCACCATGATTTAAAACATCTTACGGCTTAAAAATGATGCTTTATCCAACCAAACTTGCATTACATAGCACAATTCAGTATTACCTGTATGTCAAGCTGGGCGACTTTCTCCTTACTTTCATTCAATTGACTATTTAATTCCTTGACACTGGTTTCCAGGGAAAGGACTCGGTCTTCGGCAGCTCTCAGGTGGGCCTTCTGCTCCTGCACCTGATCGTGCAAATTCTCCTGGGCTTGCTTGTGGCTTTCCGATTGATTCTTTAGCTTTTCTGTTAGCTGCGTTACCTATCACACAAGAAAGAAACTAATTAGAACGGTCACAAATGATACAAGAAGAAGAAAGAGTAGGAATTGACTCGAAGGCAGTGAGTTTGTTTTTGTTTCTGATAAAAGTTCAAATTTAAGCACCGTGAGTATATTAAACTGCTCTATGATAACACAGCTCAAAATGTTTCAAATAAAATTACTTTCCAAAAATAAGTAAACACATTATTTCAAAATCATATCTTAAACCTGATTTTATAATGGGTAAAATTCACTTTATAAAACTACTACTTGTATAAAATACAATATACTCATTTGAATTGCACAGCTTGGAGAAATTTGACAAATGTATATACATTAATTTAATCACTAGAATAAAAATGTAGAATATTTCCTTAGTATCTCCTTTTGCAGTCAATATCTCCTACTTATCTTCAATCCAAAACAACTGTGACTGAGTAACGGTTCCTTAGATACTCTAGATATGTCTCAATTGTCAAATACATGTGTTGAAAATATTTCCTCCCAGGCTGTCATGCCTTTTACTTTTACAGTATCTTTTTAAGAGCACACATTTTCTTATTTACATGCAATTCAATTTATTTTTTTGACTTTCTTTTATGATTAGGGATTTTTGCAGTCCATCTAAGAAATCTGCCAACTTCAGGACCATGAAGATTTTCACATGTCTTTTTGGGGTGATGGGTGGAGGCTTTCTAGCTTAAACTTTAATGTTCAGGTTTAAAATCCATTTTGAGTTAATTTTTTTATAGTGTGTGTGTGGGGGGGTGTAGTATTCAACTTTCCTCGCATCACTTATTAAAAACAATTTTTTATGACTAAAATACTTGGGCATCTTTGTCAGAAAGTCAATTGACCATAAAAATGTCTATTCTATTTCAAGGATCTGATACTTATTCATACATAAATATTACCTGGCTTTGACTACTACAGCTTTACATAAAGTCCTAAAATAAGTAATGGCTAGATCTCAATCTTATTATTTTCAAAATTTATTTGGGGCTTCTAGATCCCTTGTATTACCAAAGAAATTTTAAAACTAGTTTTTTAGTTTTTATACAAAAGTCAGCCAGTATTTTGAATTATGTATCTCTGAATTGCTATAGTATTGGAGGATAAATGCCAATATATCAACAATCTTAACCCTTTTTTCAGCCAGGAGCATGGTATATTTACAAAAAAATTTTCTCAGAATATTTTCCTTTTTTTTTTAAGTACACATTTGGTACACAATTAAATTAATTAAATCAATTGCTGTAGGTGCTGTTTTCTCATGCTGCTATAAATGGTCATTTTTATTTCATCTTCTATTTTGTTTTCACTTATTTTTATATACTTTCTCTATTGGCTTTTTATCCTACAACCTTGCTAAATCCAATTTTCCTACAGATCCCTGAGGTTTTGTTAATGTAAACAACCTTATCATTAGCTGAACAGACACCATTTTACTCTGCATTTTTTTATATGCAGTGTCCTTCTTTCTGCTTTCTTAGAAGACCTTTCTCTTATTGATTTTTTGTAATTTTATTATGATGTGCTATTATGTCGCTTTCTTTGACATATCTTAAGAGTTCCTTCGGGCTCTTGGATCTGTGAATTCATTGTATTTTTACTTCGTTGTTATTGAACTAAAGCCAATTAAACCATTTCACCCTGGATTATTCAGGGACCCTGATTACATTCCTCAAGTTGTGCGACCATTCTCACCCTCCTTTTCTGAGCTGTTCCCAGGCCCTTCATGTAATCGCACTGCCCGTCCACTGGGGTTCCGATTTTGCCTCTCAAGCTGCTACTGCCACTCTGGTTCCCAATACGGGGAGCACAATGCTGATGGGAGACGTTTTTACTTAGCAGTCAGTCAATGGCTCACATAATAAATATTTTTTAAATACTCTGAGTTTTTGCTTGGGGTAATGAAAATTTATGGAAGTGAATAGTGGTGATAATCAAACAACATTGTGAATACAATTAATGTCACTGAGTATAGGGGAAGATGATTTAAAAAGCAAAGTTTCTGTTGTTGTTTTTTAATATAACCTTTAATAAACTTTGACATATATTTTAAAGTGCTAAAAAGAGCCAGAATGAAGATTCATTTAGATGAATAAAGTTTTAGAAATGTAATACATTTGCAAGCTTACTTGCTCCTGCAGTGTGTGATTTTTTTCTTGTAACTGGTTAAGAACCGCCGTCTCTCCTTCACCAGCCTGGATTTTTGCATAAAGATCTTCTCTTTCTTTTTCTAGTAAGGAAATATTCTCTTTACTCTTCTGTAGTAAGGCTTCAAGGTTCTGGATCTTTTGGTCCTTATCCCCAATTTGACGTAGCACTTGTTCCAAATCATTCTGTAAAGAATAAAAGCAACTGCCTTAAATACTGAGACCTAACAAATTTATTCTCTAGCTTACAGTGAAAAATAATGAATTTTGAAACAAACTCTCATTCTTATGTTTTAAAGTAATTATTATTTTAACATGGCAACTTCAAGGAAATATACACTTTAAATAATATAAGCCTATATTATAGATAATTAACCAATAAAAAAAAGGAGAAAGAAAACCTTCGATTAACATTTTCTTTCTCCTCACACTCGGACCACACCTTCTGCTACTCTGCTGTTTGTTTCAGACACAGAGGACTCCTCACTGTTCCTCACTCGTGCCAGTGACACTCCTACCTCGGGGTCTTTGCTCTGGTTTTGCTTTATGCCTGCACTAATGGCTGCTCATGTCGGGAACATCTTCCCTCAATTAGTTAGATGGCTCATTCCTTTCCTTCACATGTTGGCTCAAATTTCACTTTCTCAGTCAAGCCTACCATGGCCAATAACATTAAAATTTGCAGCCTTTTCAATCCCCAATCATCATTATTTTTTTCCTCCCATAGCACTTATCATCTAAAACCCAAAAGATGTATTGATTTTTTCATGGTTATCTGCGTCCCTCTGCCTCATCTCTCCACTAGAACATATGCTCATGAAATTGGGAACTTTGGTCTGTATTAGTCACTAATGTTTTCAAGGTGCCTGACACATATCCTCTCAAGATTCATCAAATGAACAGAAAGATGATCACTACATCCTAACTCATTACATTAGCACAGGATCACTTTAACTCCCCAATAGGACCAGTATGTCAATCCACAATCATAAAAGAATCTGTCTTCTTTTACTTTATCAAGGGTCTTAATGTTACAGAGAGCAATGATGCACTAGATCCCATGTAGAAAATGCTCGTAAATTTAAGGCATCTCTCTGACCACACAGCTTTTGCCTCTACCCAAAATTATTTTTAAAAGAGCTTCTACCCAGAGCAAAGTATTAAACAGTCTCTCTGCAAACCTGACAGCAGCCCTCATCACCTTGCTAAGAGAAAGTCAGAGAAGCCTAGAACGCTCAATGATCTGTGTCAATATTAAATTTTTTGAGATCATTCACATTCAAGTGCTTCTCAGACCTCTGCATTTCAATCACTAATTGATGAAAGGCAACTTAACATCTTGCTCTCATCCTCTGTTCCTATTACTAATGATCCCTCTTCCTCATATTCCACTAATCTTCTGAACCACAGTTCCAAGTCTAAAGATTTTCCCAGAACAGTCACTCTGTTTCTGTCGTCATTGACATTTGGATGCTGATTTCCCCACGTCAGTCAATAGGTCACTGTTGTGTGCACACAGCAAAGGTTCGTCTTCTCCTGGTTGCCCATTGCCACTCCTCTCTCCCCCATGCAAGCACTTCGCTGATTTGGAAAGTGTGCCATTAATTTGCTCTGCCCTCTGCTCTCTGCTGCTATCATCTAAGTCCCTATCCCTCGTTCACTGAAGACTTGAAACCTGATTTAGGTTCCTCTCCATCCCAATTGCTTCCCACTTTCCTGGAAGATTCAAAATATAGAGAGAATTAAGGGCATGGCCGCATTGTTCATATTATCTTAATTATGGACCTCCCTCCATTCATTCTACATTTCAACCACTCATGCAAAAAATCGTAGTCATCTGAAATTGTTCCACCTGAAAATTTTCTGAAATATTCTACATGGACCATAACTTCCTGGCTATCTTCCAGCCCTTTCATGACCATATTTCTGCTCTTCAATGTCAAAATACCGCAATATTCGTCCAGCTGTAACTCACATTGCACTTTCCAGCAAAATCTAATTTTAGTTTCTACTAACCTCAGCGCCTTTGTCTCTAGTTTCAACTCCTCGCTATCATGATCTTTCTGCCCAAGAACATCTATCTTTTGTGACTAAGAGAGTCACTTCTATGTGATTTTCCATGACTGCTGTCCCCCATGTGCTGAGTTAGGTCAGCTCTATGTTATCAGAATGACTTTATACACACACACACCTAGAACAATAGTGGTTACATCTCTTCACTGTTTGAAATCATTTCATGTTCCTATGAGAGACTTTTTCCTGGTGTCTTCTCTATCTTATCATTCCTCCTCAAGAAAATAAAAAGCTAACTGAATAAAACAGAAACTTCACAGTAAGGAATGAGGGATATTCCCCTTGGTCCTTCTTCTCCCCTTAGTGTTATTATAAACAACCTGCCTATCAGAAGGAGAAGGCTGTCGTTTTGCAGCTTTGCTTTTGCCTGGATAGATCAATTTAATTCGGGAATATGAGAAACTCTATGTCACTGAATGCCAGTGCCAAATTATCCGCTTTGGCTTTAGCACCTATTTCTTTACAACCCTCATGGGTGATAAAACTCACTGCCATCAAGTCAATTTTGGCTCACCGTGGCCCTAGAGGGCAGGGTAGAATTAACCCTGCAGGTTTCCAAGACTGTAACTCTTTACCAGAACAGAGAGCTCCCACGGAGCAGGTGGTGGTTTCAAACTGCTAACCTCACAGTTAGCAGCCCAATGCCATTCTTCGCAATGAAAGCCCTAGAAAGAGCGATCTACTATTCGCTCTATCAAACTCTCTCCAGTCAGATTTTCCTACTTCCACCTTTTCTACACAAATTGTTTTTATCAAGTGATTTAATTGTTTTATAGAAAGGCTAGTAATTTAAATAATGCTTACCTGGGCTTCTCGAAGTTTTGCCGTAGTGTTTTGTTGAAGAGCTTGCTGTTCTTGATGCTGTTGCTTTGCTTTCTCTAATTGATGCCGCAATTCTGTGGTATTTGTTACTGTTTCCTTTAACTTAAAAAAGAAAATGTAGTCTTTAAGTTGATAACTCAGAGGCATAATACTATCATACACAAATAGCAAGCATTACTTCAAATCTCATAATTTGAAAAGCTGTGCAGAAACTAAACTCAGACCATATAGATCAACTTTAAAAAACTGAATCTCAATACTAATAGAATCCTAATTCTATGATGAAGAAACTATTCTCTAAAAACAAACTCACATTCTGAGAATTCTTCTTCCAAGTTGGTTTCAAAAAAGTTCACAGAAAAATAAATTTGAAAAATAATGGAATTCTTCTGTTAACCTTTTGAAGCCCCTTCAGATGACCAAGAAAGCAATTACATAAAAAGCATTTATACCAGCAATATAAACCAGAGCATATTTATTTTATTTTTTCCATATCAATCTTATGTATCATTTATTAGAAAAGAACAGGAATTTCTATCATATCTAGGGTTTTAGGCCTCCAAGAAACTCTGTTGCGGAGGATACATGTTTCAGTTCTCAGTTTATGCCAATGAAAGATATAATGCAATGACAATTTTAACTGTCACCATCTTATAGGTACCATTTCTAGCAATCCCTGTTTCAATTAGGATAGCATTCAATTGTAAGTTTTAATTTTAAAGACTCAGTGTTTTCATGTACCCGCCATACATCATTCCTGACGTTCACCAAGGGTTCACATTTCCTGTCCCATCAGTACCTGAGCCTCCTGACTAAGAAAACGTTTCCTCCAGCAGCCTGACAGAGATTTACCTTCAAATGTTCTCCTGCCCAAACTAAAGGAATAGTCTTCTTTTTACTTTTATTAACTTTAGAGATTATATCTATTACAAAATGACTTAATTTCCGTGATGTACGCTATGTTTTTTAGTGGGAAGGGATAATTGTGGTACTTTACATTTAAATGAACTGCCCAGTAAGCTCTGGACAATGAAAAGATGGCTGAACCCTGGGAACATTTGAAGTGCATCAAGTTATCAATAATGCTGTGAACATAAACAGACTCGATGTAGCCAGTTTACCTGCTCTTCTAAACGAGACAGTTTGAGTTGCAGATCAGCCACTAGCTGTTCTTTTTCCATCAGTTTTTCACTTGTAAGCTGTCGCTGCTCCTTTAGCCTACCATGAGCTTCCCCTAGTTGGTGTTCTGTCTCCAAAAGTTTTCCATGTAACTTTAAAAAAGAAAAAAAAAGTTTATGCATATATTTCAACAGACACACAAACACCACCAACACCACTGTCATCACCAATCTCCCAAACACTATTTCATTTTTATCAGTGTAAGCACAATATCCTAATTTTCACGATCCTTTGGAGAACCTTCATAAAGTAAATTTAGCTCTACGTGAATTTTCATCACGTTGAGGTGATTTTGCTTTGGGCCTCTTAAAAAAACTGAAGGGGAAATACACATGGCCTAAGCCTCTCTGGTGAATCCCCTGTCCAGGGATCAGGGGTGTGAATGCATCGGAAACTGATGCAGTTAGGTTAAAAATTTAATACCTTATCATCTGATTTTCCTTTTGATTCATTTAAAATTTATTCTAGTTTAATATTTTCTGCTTTCTTTACAATAGAGGCTTTTCTGTTTCACTTTGCTATGGTTTTTTGATTTTTTAATGTTTTTCTGGATTAAATGCAATCAGAACAGATAAATCTATAGAAACAGTAACTAGATTAATGCTTCCTTGAGGGTATGAGAGAAGAGATTGGGGGGAAATGGGGAGTTAATTACAATGAGTACAGGAAAGAAGAAAATGTTCTAAAATTGACTGTGGTAATGACTGTAACTCTTCTTAATATGGTTAAACTACTTAATTGTGATTTGTAAATTATATGCCAATAAAACTTGTATATGTAATAACTAATATTATATTAGATATATTATTATATATATCCACCACTCGTCTGTCAGTTTGTCATAATGTGGTGGCTTGTGTGTTGCTGTGATGCTGGAAAATATGTTACTGGTATTTAAAATGCCAGCAGCGTTACCCAAAGAACAGGTTTCAGCAGAGGTTCCAGCTTAAGAACAGACCATGAAGAAGGACTTGGCTCCTTCCTTAGGCTTAGCTTCAAAGCACTGTCAAATACTGAAAGCCTAAACAAAGGAAGCACAATACTGTCGAAGATACTGCCGGCAGAAGGGCCCCTCAGGTCTGAGAGCACTTGAAATGTGGCAATGTGACTGAAGAGGAGATGATTTCTTGAAGGGGAGTCAATCATAGGAGTGGGAGTGGAGGCGTCAGGGTTTTTATTTGCTGATGGGGCAAACTTAAAGTAAAGAAAAATGCCTGCAAAAATCTTCTGACAGGAACTTGGAATATGATAAATATGAATTTAGGAAAATTGGAAGTTAAGGAGCTGAATAGAAAATTCCAAAGGGCAGCTCGAAAAGACAAACATTATTTAAAATGTGCAAAAACCTAGAACTAGAAAATGAAAAGGGAAGAACACTCTCAGTCTTTCTGAAACTTAAAAAACTCAAGCCCGAGTGCGATTTTAAAAGATTCTGTAGGCAAAATATTGAATGATGCAGGAAGCATCAAGAGAAAAGTACACAGAGTCACTGTACCAAAAAGAACTACGACAGTCCACCATTTCAGGAGGTGCCATAGAAGCAAAAGCCAATGGTATTGAAGGAACAAGTTCAAACAGCACTGAATACATTAGTCAACAACAAGGCTCCAGGAATTAATGGAACACCCATTGAAATGTGTCAGAAAGCTGAAACACTCACTCATCTATGCCTTAAAATTTGGAAGATACCTACTTGGCCAATTGACCAGAAGAGATCTGTAATTGAGCCCAAGAAAGAAAGGTTACCCAACAGAATGCTCAAACTATAGAACTACATCATTGATACTGCAGACAAGCAGGATTTTGTTTAAGATCATCCAACAATGGTTGTAGCACTACACTGGAAAAGACCTGCCAGCGGTTCAGGCCAGATTCAGAAAGGATGTTGAATGAGGGCTATCACTGCTGGTACCAGATGGATCTGAGCTCAACGTAGAGAATACCAGAGAGATGTTTACTTGTGTTTCATTGATTATGCGAAGACATTAGACTGTGGACCATAATAAACTATGAATAAGCTTGACAAGAATGGGAATTCCCAAACACCTCATCGTGCTCATTGAAATTTGTACCTGGATCAAGAGGCAGTTGTGCGAATGAAATAAGGGAATACTGCATGGTTTAAAATCAGGAAAGGTGTGTGTATGGGTTGTAGCCTCTCACCATATTTGCTCTTGCTGTATGCTGAGAAAATCAGCAGAGAAGCTGGATTATATGAAGATTATGACATCAGGATTAGAGTAAGACTTATTAACAACCTCCATATGCAGATTACACAACCTTGCTTGCTGAAAATGAAGAGCACTTCAAGCACTTGCTAATGAAGCTCAAGGATTGTAGTCACAAGTATGGATTGCAACTCAATGTAAGGAGGACTTAAAATCTCACAACTTTGTCAACAGGTAACATGATAAATGGAGAAAAGTTTGAAGTTGTCAAGAATTTTGTCTTGCTTGGATATACAATCAACGCTCATGAAACAGCAGTCGAGATCAAAAGACTAGGTAAACCTGCAGCACAAGGCCTCTTTATAGAGCACTGAGAAGCAAGGATGTTACTTTGAGAACTAAGGTACGCCTAACCCAAAGCCATAGTATTCTCCATAGCATCATATGCATGTAAAAGTTGGACACTGAATAACTAACAGTGAAGAAGAATCAATGCATTTGAATTGTGGTACGAGAGAAGAATACTGAAAGTACCATGACCTACTAAAAGGATAGACCAATCTGTGTTGCAAGGAGTAGGGCCAGATTGCTCCTTAGAGGCAAGGTTGGCAAGACTTCTCACCTACTTTAAACATACTGTCCGGAGAGACCAGTCTTTGGAGAAGGACGTCGTCTTTGGTAAACTGGAAGGGCAGTGATAAAGAAGAAGGCCCTCAGTGGGATGGGCTGACACAGTGGCTGCAGCAGTAGTCCCGGCACAGGAACAATCGTGAGGATGGCACGGGCCTGGGCACTGTTTCATTCTGTTGTGCGCAGGGTCGCTGATTAGCGCCTACTCAATGGCACCTTGCAACAACATGTTTATATATCTGTATCTATATATAATTTCCCCAGTAGCTATCACTTGGCTGTAAGCATCAAAACCGCTAGAGTAACTTAACAAAATAAAACCAAGCTTAAAAACCAAGACACATCTAGGACACACTCAGACCCATTCACAATACTTTTAATTAAGAGTTCTTAAATCAGTATGGATTCTGGTCAGTTTTCATAGCTGAGACCTACAAATGGCTTCTTAAATTGGATTTATCCAATAAATAGAGTTCAAAGTACTTCCTAAGGACTCACATTGGCATGTGATCTCTAAATAAACATAAGACATTATTACATTTAAAACAAAACATTATAATCATTGCGTAATTAGTGTGAGCCAAACTAAATTTCTTCAGCAGAAATTCTTCTGCAATAGACAATGAGTGGAAGATTGTTGGTAGTTGGATGCGAATAGTACTTGGACTGTTTACTAGCTGAGCGTACTTGTCCAAGTCATGAACCTTGTTTTGGCCTCAGCTTTCTCATCTGTAAATCGGGGATAATAAGCCTACCTGCCTGGCAGGGCTGCTGGGTGGGTGAAATGAATC